GTACATGAAATCTCTATTATTTCTTACAACTGCATGTGAACATACAATATCCTCAATAAAATTTTTAATTAAAAAATTATTATGAACCAGTAGTATCTGACCCAGGATTGCAAGTATGATTAAAGATTAGAAAAACTGTTAATGTAGTTGATTATGAAAAAGAAGAAGGATTCTGAGATCTTTTTAAAACATACAAAAACTTCTATATATATCTAATATTAAGTTCTTATTAAAATGAATAAGCAAAACCTCAAAATAAACATACCTCTTGCAATCTAAGAATAGAAACTTCTTAACCTGATGATAAAGTACATATGCAACTATCAATAGCAAGTATCTTGCCTCATAATGAAATGGTAGAAACATAGCCACTGAAGAAGACAACACTCAGCACTACTGCTTCTCAGTATTGGTCTAGATCCAATCCAGTGCTAAGAAAATAAATGCTAGTAATATTTTTAAAATATTGAAAATAAAACCCAAAGCTAGCCTTATTTATCTAAAGAGAAATAACATCCAACACAATCAATTAATATCTATTAGACCTAATAAAAGAAAGGTAGCCAGGGTCCAGGTAAACTTACAGAAATCCATAGATTTTCTATTTAGTGGAATTAGTCATATGAAAATGTAAAAGGAAAAAAATGCTACATATAGAATAGCAATAAAAACTATAAAGATAAGAAATAGCCCGGCCGGGCGTGGCTCAGCGGTTGAGTGTCGACCTAGGATCGAGGCAATCAGGGTTCGATGCCTGGTCAGGGCACATGCCCCGGTTGCGGGCTCCATTCCCAGTGGGGGGCCTGCAGGAGGCAGCCGATCAATGACTCATCATTGATGTTTCTCTCTCTCTGTCTCCCTCTCCTTTCCTCTCTCTGAAATCAATAAAGATATATTAAAAAAAGAGAAAGAAATAAACTTAACAGGAAGTGTGCAAGACTTATAAGAATCAAACCCATGGATGACAAAAAGAACCTGAATTAACGGGAAGGTGTTTTATGTCCTTGATTGGAATGGAGTTTTTTCCTGAATTGATGATGAGATTACTAATTTATTGGATGGGAAGACCAGATACTTTTGAAAAAGTCAACTTTCCAAAAATTAAGCTGCTCTTTCAGTGGGTATTTTATTGAAAATCTCAATATTACCCTTTCTAGAACCTGATTTTAAAATCCATGCAGAAGAAAAACTTTAGTCAAAGAGATTTTGGAAAAAATACTAAAGAGAAACTTGTCCTACGAATTTCAAATAGTCGACCAATACTGTCCTACATGGTAAATTCAAGGAGTAGACTATTTGTTTTGGAAAGTGCTTCAGAACACAGACATAAGAAAATCTTCTCAGTTCATTTATGAGTTGCATAACTCTGATACTAATACTGGATGCAGAGCAAAATGAAACTATAAAGACAGTTATTAAATGGTAGCAATACTGACTCAAGAAGAGGCACATTGATTAATGAAGCAGAATTGAGAAGCAGATCCATGTGTCTGTGGGAATGTAATAATTAATAACTGGCAATTTCAATGAGGAGCAGTGATGCAAAATGCATTTGACACAAGGTATATCTCCTACTTCACACCACAGATAAAATGTTTTACGCAGATTACATAGTTATGGGCACAAAATTTTTAAATTAAAAAATATGAAAGATAATATTTTACAAACTTGGGGAGAGGAAGAATTTTCTAATTAAATTATCGAGGAAATTACTACAAAAGCTGTCTATAAAAATTTTAAATTTCTCTAAATAAACAATGTCAAAATATAAAAGGCAAGTGTTTCTGGAAGAATTACCATTTGCTATATGTAGCCCAGACAAAATTTTTTTGGTATTGCTGTTAAAAGTTCTCCAGTATGTTATCTGTTAAGTGAAAGAAGCAGTTGTTAAAATAACAGCGACAGTGTTGACTATGTAAAAATTATACATTCGCTATATAAAATACACCAAACTGTGAGATGGTTAGATATCCCCACACATGTATCTCTGAGAAATGATGACAAAGGGGACTTTCACTTTTAGTTCACATAGTTCTGCATTTTTATTATTGTAAGAAAGTACTCATGTATTACTTTAGAAAAAAATTTCAAATCTGGCAGCATAAAATCATTACTGTCAGGATTACTTCGCGTCCAGTGTCTGATTCTTTCAGCCCCGATCAGCTAAGGTGCTGGCGTTCGGATTGGCGCCTGCGACTGCGTTGGTTAAGGGGCTGCGTTTGGCAGTTTCCGTTCACCTGCAGGACGTCCAATACCCACATGCCTTGGGTGAGCCCCGGGAGCCCTTGTGCTTGTTGGATTCCTACTTGCTGAAACCCCCTTTTCAGACAGCTTCCCAGCACCTTTTACATTGGTAGCGCCTCCCGTTAGCAGTTCAGTCTCCTGCCAGCCTGGGCCCCTGTCCCCATGCCTGGCGCGCTGGGGCATCGCTCTGTCTGTCCCAGGAGGGACGCACAGGTAAGATTTGCTTTCTACCCAGGTGCTTTCAATACGTGAGTGAAATACCAGCCTCAGCTCCCATCTGTGTCACGGACTCCTCGGCTCTGCTGCGCTTGTTCGCGTGGACGTCTGAGCCACCCGAGGAAACTCGGGGTTGCCAGGAGCTTTTAGCCAGGTGCGCCCTCATTGCCTGGCTGTCGGGGTGGCTGCCAACCCCAGGCCTGGGGGAATTTCTTTTCCCTGCTTCTGTCTAGACCCAAACTTCCCCCTCTTCTCTACCAATTGAGTCCCGGCTGTCTTCACTTTTCTCTTTGTTGTTTTCAGCTTGGTCTGTGTCCTAAGAGGCTGATCTGTGTAGACTTGGGGTGAGCAGAAGGCTGGAGGAGAGCAAGTTCAGAATATTTATTCCCCTGCTGGTTTCTCCCCATAGAGCCAAACTTTTTTAAAAAAAAGACTCTTTCCTGGAGCTACAAGTCTCACAGGCTCCTGGAAGCTGCTCCCTCAAGCCCAGAGATAGTCACTATTGCTTGCTCAGGATTTTTAACTATTTCTTTAAAGTCTCTGTAATGGTGCCCATGCCTTTGTTAATAGATTCTTTTTTAAAGTTTCCCCAGCCACTGTTTTGAGGGTGCCCTGTGTTCCTCCAAGACTGATGGAAACAAGGGCTATTAATGGAGCTGGAGTGGCTCAGGCTTAGGCGCTTCTCAGTTATCGCCTTTAAAGTAACAGGAATACTAGTCCTTTGATTTTTAAAATCTCTTTACTTTTAAAAAGACAAACTTTATTCATAAAGTAAGCAATGCACCAATTCTTCTTGAAACACCATAGTTGCAGAGATACTAAAGACACCGGGTGTGTCTTTAGCCCTTGGCTGAAGAAAATAATGGTATGTTAGGGTTGCTATCCATGCTGATAAAGTGGGTTTTAAATCTAATTACACCTATAAAACCAGCGTTGACCGTGTAAGGTTATAAAACTCTTAAGTTCATGCTTAACCTACTCAGCATTAAAGTTTGTTTCTTTTTTTTTTCTTCTTCCCATTATTTCATTCCCTGCTAAGTGCTAGACCACATTATTTTAGTGTCTTGTCTCATATGATCACAGTTCCTTGTTGGGTGTGTTTATCATAGCACTTTGTCCATTTTCTATGTTCAAGTGACTGGTTAACAATTTGATATTATATATATTAAGGTAATTGCAGCTGTGGTTCGATGTAACTGACTTGGCCGTGGACAATAATTTATTCAGCAAATATTTATTGGATGTTTATTATGTGCCAGACACGTTTTAGGGACAAGGTTTTCATGTAGCAAAATTTTATGGTGGAGTAAAGCCAAAGTGGTTTTTATAGGAAAAAAATCAAAAAACAAAAGTGCAAAACGTCTTTTTAAAGAGTTGCTATCCATTGCCTTTTAATGCCTCACAAAGCACACTCTTATTAGACCATTTCTATGGGAAAATGCATTCTAAGTATTAACCAACTTTTAAGTGGATGCTTGGCTTTCAATCCATTTAAATTGAAAACTGTTCCTATGTGACCCCTTTTAACATTTAGTAAAGGATGCACTGAAGGCCTATAAATCTAGGTTAACAATCAGAACTATGAAAAAGGTAATTTAATCCTTGCTTTTAAATCATTTTTGGCATTTCTCTTTCCTTGCAAATGATAAGGAAAAGCAAATGTTGACTTAGAAATTAATTAAATATAGACTATTATACCAAACAAGGTTTGACCATTACCCTAAGTTTCAAATCAGTAAGAAATAATTACAATGAATGGCACCTATTGGGGACTGAGGCAAGGCTACAAGGGAGGGGTGCTTATTGACTTGTCTCTTTTGGGAGTTGACTAGCCTCTGTAGGTGCTAATAAGTCTGCTATAACTGATGATGTCACACATTATTACATCAAATGGAGATCATCAGTTCCCAGAAACGCTGTCCATCTGTCTTGAAATACGTTCAGTCCATCACTCATACTACAAAGTCTTTTCAGGCTCCTTAATTTGTCCACTGTATCCATTTTAAGTTTAGCTGGGTAAAGGGTTTCTGTTCTTGTAAGATGAATCACTTATCAAATCCTAGTGCAGTTTTTGTCATAAAATTTTAAATGCAATTCTTAACATGACAATAACGCCTTCTCATTTAGTTGATTTAATTGTTCAAGCTTTCTTCACCTTTATCATTTTATTTTAAACTAAAGAGTTACAGGTCCTGTAATAATTTGAGATTTTTTTGCTTCTAGTTTATCCACTCACCTTCTCAAAGACTTAAGAAGACTGACAGTGTCATTTTAGTCAATTCACTTCTAGTGGGAGAATGATAGAATGATCCAGTGGGGAATAATCACGTTCCCAAGGGGAATGGGCCCTTGTCACTTGGCCATTTGCTCTGCCACGTTTCCAACATTTATCATTGTGGTTTAGAAGCCTCGCCTTCCACCCTGTGAGGGTACGTGTGCTACTTCTTGAAAACTGTCATGCCAATTATTCTTATTTTTAGATCTAGAATGTGTTTGTTTTTATTTGTTTCACAGCCGACCAACCTAGAGCTTGGAAATAGATTTTTCAGCCAGACTTCATTCGTGGGATTTGCCATTCCTCTATTTGGGTTAATGCCAGAAAATATCTCCTGTGCCTAAAAATAGCTGCACTGTAGGTAAGACTATACCTGTGAACTATGCTTAAAAACTCAACTTTTAAAACAGCACTCTTGGGGCATTATTTACAATGAATCAATATTTTTAGAGCTTCTGTGTTCGGGATGCCTTTAGCAATAAATTATTGTGTTAGTTGATTCTTAGGTTGTTTATGTACACTTATTTGTTCCTAATAGCTACCTATAAATCTCAGAAAATACACTTTGTTTGATAGCTACTACATTTGATTTGCAAGTATTTGGGTCACAAAGTGGAACTTCAATTTAGAAAAGAAACGGTCAGTAGAATAATTAATTTTCCACGCACAGCACATTCGCTAGACCTTAAGCCTGCCTGAAAACTCTAATGGACAATGTAATCTTCTTGCAAACATCTATTTTATTCCTTGCCCAATGTGAAGCCCACTGCCTAGCCACAGTGTGTAGTAGTTATGTGACTCGGGTGAAATTAACTCAACCCTGATCCATTATTCTTGACTCTTGACATAGCCATTAGTTCATTGATGGGCATGTGAACCATTTTAAAGCCAAAGAACCAGTGCAAAGTGTTCTGCCTAGAGGGCGAGGGCCAGTTAGCGTGACCCTCAGGCCCTGTGTTCTGTAGGTATGGGAAACAAATGTCTTGTGCCTTCTGGGATTGCTGTCACATAATTGTGCCTAAATAGGCTACATTTTGAATGGTGCAGCCACAGCTATGTGTAAAATGAACAATATAATACAAAAAATCCTGACTGAGCCCTGGCTCTGCTGCTGGCAGTTTTGTGACTGTGAGTGAAGCCAGCCTGAGGACAAAGCTGATATGAGAGCAGAACTTAGAGAATTCCAGACAAGGGAGTTATGTGTGTAGACAAATAATTTTGTGATAATGGCACAATGGCATTAAAGTTGATACGTATTGAATCTTATTTAATATGTAAAATACATGAAATTTTACTTAATACAGCTAAAGAACTTGAAGAGAAGTTAATCTCAGATAAAACTTTCACTGTGAAGATTATTGGTCATTTAAAAAATATCATTAAACTGAGAAAATTATGAAAATAGTTAAGAATTTAAGGTCGACATATTCTCTCCTAATTAAATGCTCCAATTTTAGAGTATTACTGTGAAGGAGGAAGCAATTTTGCTTTCTTTCTTCTCCTCTCCTTATATTTTTTTTAGTTTGAAAAGATTCACAGTATTTATGTTCTTTGCTGCACGATAATTCCCATTTTTTGGTCTTAGTTCTACACGTAAATGGATTTACTGCTCACCACGATTGCCTTTCTCATGGCTTCTCCTTCCTGGCCTCTTCGAGCTGTCTTGTGGTCAGTTGCAGGTCATTATTGAGCCCTATTCTTATTAAGGAGGGCTCATGAGTGTTATATTACCTAACTTTCATTGTAGATACTATAGGGCCCTATTTTTATAATTAAATGGCAACCTAACTGGGTACACTTTTCTTGGTAACACTTCCTTCCCCTTGGAATTTCCTAAATACTACTTCAGTTTTTACTGGCATTGAATATTACTAGGAAGTCTCATGCTAACCTCATTTTCTTCCCGTATAGGTGACTTTGTTTTTAATTGAATGGAGGAAGAATTCTTCCTTTATTCTTGAATTTCTGTAAGTTAACCATGATTCATTTCTATCTCAGTCACTCTGAATCAGATTTTCCAAATAGAGCAAATTTCTTTCAGTTTGCAGATGTAAGGCTTTCTACACTTTAGTGTCATTTTCCTGTATTGTACCTATGAATGCTTATCTGTTCGTCTGTTTGTTTGGAGTCTCTACTTTAGGAACACAAATTACCTTTATGCTGTTTTTTCATTGCTCACCCTTCTTACCCATCGTCACAGCTCTAGTTATAATATTGCTGCCTCTATCTCTTTGTTCATTTGATTATCCCAAACTTTTCATATGACATTCATTTTATTTAATTTTAGCCATGTCTGCTCTGATTTCTGCTATTTAGAATTTGCTTACTGTATCAGGAATTGTGTGTTTTGCTTCTCATTTTATTTCTTTAGCTCTGCCATGGTCTCTTGCTTTGTATTTTGTTGTTATATCATCTTATCTTTGAGCTATCATGTTTCCTTTTACCTTTAAAAAATTAATTGAATTTTTTTACTAAGGTCTTTATAGTGCAAAATATTGGTAGGAAATCAGCCAGTGCTCCCTGGGTCATGTGTTCTACTGAAATTATTTTTCTGTAGTGTATATTTGTATACTATTTACATCACTTCTTTTCATCTTGCTCATGATGAATTTAAGTAGCTCCATTCAGATGCTATTGTTTGGATACGGTGCAAGCTAATTCTTTTTGATACCTGATGTACTTCTGACACAAATTAGTTTATCTTTCAGCAAATTTTTCCTCTCTCCCTGGCTTTATTGATTTTGTAACTTCCCATGTGACGCTGATTTTGGACTTCGTATTTCGCTGCGAATAGAATGTGAGCAAAGATGTCATGAATAGAGGCTCTGAATGCGCTTGCATGATGAGTTGGGCTCCTGAACTTTCACCTTCTGCCATGAGCGGAGCATGCTAGTCCCAGAGCGAGGAGCTATGTGGAGCAGAATTAAATCCAGTCCCAATCCTTGAACTAATCCAAGACTCTCCTAGCTAAGCCTAGGAATATCACAACTATTGCATAGAATCATGAGTAAGAAAAAGAAATGTCTTTTGTAGTCCCCAAGATCATGGGATTGTTTGTTATTTGGCATTACTGCTACAAAAATTGACTAAATACATCTTCCCACTTTATGTGCAAATTGTTTTTTCTTCTCAAATTGATTGTTTTCCATGTACTTTTCTAAGGCCTCGGACTATGAAGACAGGGAAGGAGACAGCATAGCTGAGGCTAAGACAAACCTAGGTAAGAGAGAGCCCCTTACATGTCCTTATGAGGGAGATGCTCCAATCCTATGGCTTTGACAACTTCTCTCTTTTGGTGCAGTGCCATGGAAGATGTCAGTTCTTCCATTGACTGTGTCATTGCCTTGGTATTTAGGGGCTTTTACTTCTGAGAGTTTTCTCTGACCTTTTGCAGAGCTGTTTAATCACTGCCTTAATCTGCTTAGCCTCAAATTGGAGGATATCAATACAAATTCTTAGACCATTACGGAGATAAACTTTCCTATCACTAGCTCTGGGGAAAGAGGAATTCATTTATGTATTATGTAGAAATGCCACATGGAATACTTAAACAGGTCATAGATACAAGTTCAGATGCATTTTTATGTAGGAAAATTTTTAAAAAATCTAGCTGAGGAGAATTTTTTTCTAAAATAAATATGTTCTAGTATATTACACATCTGAATGTATTTTGCTTCAATTTGAAATACTTTTAGTACTGTAGAAAAAATCTAGGGGAAATCAGCTCTATATAAATGTAAAACGATTAAATATTAGCACTAAGGTGGACAGATGAAGACATGAAAAAATAATACCATGCTTTTGGGTTTTTTATTTCATACTTATATATCATGTATTGACTAATAGGAACTCAATTGAAAGTCAATAAAATGAGGTCTTTCTTTAACATCTGTCACCAGCATATTGCACTAGATTTAAAAATAAATATTTAAATTTGCTCACTCTACTTTATTTACACAAGTCCACTAATTAATTCATTCTTATGCCAGCTAAATTCTGATATTATAGCAGAATATGTTATTTTTGCTTGCTTTAAACCTGACCCGATTTATTGAGGAATGCTAGTGCATGACCTAGGAGTTTTCATATACTCCATTAGGAATGAACTTAAGTATTTTTTAAAGTATATTTAGTGCATCAGCAAATAGAGAAAATGGATTAGCAGGAACATCTTTCATCTGAAACTGATAAAGGGATCTGTATCAATATTTGCTGGAATTAGCATGTAGTGGATTAGGTTATAAATTATACAATAATATTTATTTTAGAAATTGGTCTTTGCAAAGTCGAGCTTTAGTGGGAAGTAAGGGAGAAAGGAGAAGTGATTATAATGCATATCAATTTTACCAGTTCTCTTGTATTATCCCAAAGAATTTATACCTTAAAAAAATGACTAAAATTTATTCAGCAAAATGCAGGCAATGAAAACAAATGAAACTGATCTGAGTAGTAAGTTATCCTACTTATAATGTGGAATGGAAGCAAATCATCATGAATAGAAGAAAACCATCTCTTCTTGTTGGCTGGCATGAGGTCATTTAGTATTTAAATCAACTTTAATTACTGGCAAGCTGAATTGTTCATTAATGGGTTGTCTGTAGCAACAAAGATAGCACATTTAACAGTGTTGTGAAAATACTGTAGCACAGCATCATCTTCAGCCATGGGTATTGCCTGGAAGTGCAATTTAGGTTTATTAAACCAAGATTATTTATGAAGCCAGTGGCAACAAAGCTTTCACATTCTTAGCATCTTAAATTTTTTGCTGTTGTTGTTAGCTTCTACCTTTTGAACTATCCTCTCTTAAAAGTAATTAATTCACCATACATTTTTATGATTTCTTAATTAACAAAGGAGAAAGTGGTGTGTTTGTCTTATAATTACTGAGTTGCTTGCTAGGATTGGTAGAGACCAACTACTGTAAACTAATTCTCCCGTGTGAATTCTGATTCATGTGAACTGGGTCCATATATATTCCTTTTAGGTCACTTGGAGAATACTGTATGAACTATTTTCCAGTTAGAAAAAAATGTCAGATTATTTAGATATCTGTTACAAAGAATTAAAAGTATATGTCTCATTCTAAAACTTCCTAAACACAATACTTGATCCAAATTTGAGGCATAACTTAGGAGTGAAAATAAACCTCACTTAACAGCTGACCTGTCTCTTCTTAGCAGACAGTGTGGAGGGGTGCTCACAGAGCGGAGCTGTCACGGCCCTGGGTTACCAGTGACATTCTGAAATGCTTGTGGTTGTAGAGCTTTCTGCAGGCGCTTGCCACTTGCTTTGTTAAATTGCACACATTTTTCAGTCAAACATTTTCCTGCCTGCATCAAAGGTGTTGAGTAACTGTGTTAA